TAGAGGGAACACTGCTTGAGACAGTCTTTTGAAGCTATTTTGTGTCGTATCAAGAGGATGGCCAGTCCAACAAACACACCACGCAACATGAAAGAATGAAGGTATGTCTTTATCAGTTTTAACTTTGCATTGCTATGCTCCCCACTACCAACTGAAATTGGAAGAGGAGAGAGATCAAAGAGCAATGAAGACTGATGGGAAAGCGTGTTATAATTGTCAAGTTACTGGCTTGATTACCACCAGATTCTTGCCTTTCAGAAACACTGGTGTAGGCTTGAGGCCTGCAAAAATCATCCAAGTCCCTGTTTCTCTGAGACCTCAAGGTCATGCTGATTGCCGTTTCAGAGAACAAGATAAGGAAGGGAGGATGGGAGTCCACCCAGGTGCTGGTTAAACCACTAGGTCTAGCGGTTTCAAGGCCAAAGGATCAGGGAGGGAGTTCACCTACACATTTCATCTCATTAGTGCAAGGACCCATGGGTGGGAGAAGGTGCTTGCTCAGTTAGGCCCTGTACATCCGCAGAGGACATGGTCTCATGATGACAACACACCTGACTGTTTATGTCACCTGGTTAGAAACATACCAAACTGAACTTGCCAAACCGGTTCATGTATAGAATCATAGAGTTGGAAGGGGCCATACAGACCATCTAGTCCAACCCCCTGCCCAATGCAGGACCAGCCTAAAGCATCTCTGACAAATATTCACCCAGACTCTTCTTGAAAGCTGTCAGTGAAGGGGAGCTAACCACCTCTCTAGGCAGCTGATTCCACCTTTGAACCACTCTGACCGTGAAAAAGTTTTTCCTAATATCCAGCCAATACCTTTCTGCATGTAATTTAAACCCATTGCTTCGGGTCCTATCCTCTGCTGCTTACTGGAACAGCTCCTTGCCCTCCTCCAAATGACAGCCTTTCAAATATTTAAAGACAGCGATCATGTCCTCGCTCAATCTCCTCTTCTCCAAACTAAACATTCCCAAGGCCCTTAGCCTTTCTTCATAGGGATCAGTCTCCAGACCCCTGATCATCCTCGTCGCTCTCTTCTGCACCCTCTCGATTTTGTCCACATCCTTATTGAAGTGAGGCCTCCAGAACTGCAGACAGTACTCCAGGTGCAGCCTGACCAAGGCAGTATACAGAGGGGCTATAACCTCCTGCAATTTCGATGCTATGGCCTTTTTAATACAACCTGTTAAGGAAAGAGACTGATATTCTGCTTTGTGAATTTATATTTGCTGCTGCATACACTCAATTGACTGTGCACACACACACACATAGGCTCAGAAAGCTGTACAAGTCACCTGTTGTGATACTACACATAGAAGGTGCCTGCGTAAGCCTTACACGTGAATGAGGTTTCAGCCACACAGCTACCAGCCTGGTGAAGAAAGCACACATCTCCATTATGGTCAGCAAAAACAACAACTTGAATGGAGGCAGCCCCCATTGCTGAATTGTTGAAAGCCACGTATTCCACATCTCTGCTTTATTTTACATTGGAAGTTCCTGCCAGATGGACCTTTTATGACCAGAGGAATGGCCAGCTTCATCTGCACTTCAAGGAGATTCCTTGACACCAAGCTTTC